CTAGTTATTTTTAAGTTACTATTAGTATACTTTGATAGGACTATTTAAAAGATTATTCTACTCCCATAAGACAAAATTTGCCATTTTATAAAATATTTTTATTATTTGAATACTTAGGATTTAACTTTTTACATGTTAACTTCCAATGCTCTGAGTTGAGTTTTTAAAAAATATGACACATTTATTGCTTGAGTAAAATTATTGTAGAAATTGATTTTTAAGCAAAAGTACCTATGTTAAATGTCTCTTTCACTTGTCCCTATTGTCATAAAATTAGGAATAAAATGGGAATCTGACTACTGGCTGGCATATTGCAAAAACTATGGATGCCACATATTTAGTGGTTAATTTTTATGTTCCATATCTCCTCCTCTGCATTAGGTCCCCAAGAGTTTTCAGTTTTAACCCACCAGTTCTAATCTATAAGTAAAAAATGCAGAATTGGGATTATACTTCCAATTAGATAGTTGACTGCATACACTGCCCCCCTAAACATTTGTTAGTTATGACATATTTTCAAAGGAGTAAACATGACTAAGGAAGTGACATAAAGTAAGTACAAAACATTTTATATAATAAATGATTGGAAGGTGATGCAGAGGAGGAGATATGTTGGATAAATGTAACATCTTGCTTCTCTCCAGGCAAGTTTTGCTGGCCCTTATTACAATTAACTACAAAACCATTAGGGTTTCATTTTATGCTCTTGGTAGCAGCAGTTTTTTATCATTATTTAAGAATAATCTTATTTTCTTGTCTTTAAGAAACCGTGATATTTATAATGGTTTTGATCTTATCAGGCAGGTAACTTTTTTAAAAATCATTTCTTAGGAACAAATATAATTTTCATCTCACACATTTTTCTTAGCCATTTCCTTAAATATATCTTCTTGAGTGTAATGAATGTGGTTCAGTACCTCCTGAGCTGTCTGGATATTAGCAGAGCAGTCTGGCATGTTGATTAAATGGGATGAACTGCCACACAGTGTAAAACTCCTCGATTTCTCTTAAACATGAATTATTGTTACTTAATCAGAACTTATTTTCCAATGGAAGGAAAGATGCCATATGCATTTAACAAGAATAAATCACTACCAAGGAGAGGAAAGGAAAGGTGAAGAAATTAGAACATTTCTTATTTGATTAATTTATCACAACTTAAACTCAGTTCCCTTAGCACATAAGCTATTTTCAGGCAATTAAGAATTTTGGCAAGGGGGAGCCTGGGTGGCTCAGTCCATTAAGTGTGGAGACTGCTTAAGACTCTCTCTCTGTCTCAAAAAAAAGAAAAAAAAAAATTTTGGTGAGAATTATAAACTGTTTGGTTCCCAGAGTACCATTTAGACAGTATATTTCAAACTCTTTTACTTTAACTCACAGTAAATAATGCATTTTACAGGTGATTGAGCATACTTATACAAATATATATCTTGTATACATTAAATATACTTGCAACCCGCCTTACTACATGCTGTGTACTCTGATATTTTCCATTTTATGCCATTTTAAAAACTATGTTGATTTCACAACTTTTCCACAGGTCATAAACAGCTTTTTGAAAAACATTAATTGAGGAGATTCTTCTTTGAAGCTTTTAATAAATAGTTTCTTGATCATTTGTTCACTTACCAGAATATTATTTGCAAGGCAGTGTTTTAAGTGCTTGCTGTATACAAAGAGTTAGACATAAACCTTGCTCTTACAAGCAATTACTTGTGCTTATTTAAAGTCCAGTTAAAATAGACTGAAATACACATGCATGTGAATTTTTCATAATTTTCTGTCCTTTCTGGCTTCTGCTTTGGTACTGATTATTGCTGGATATATTTGTCAAGATTTTCTTGATTTGACCTTTTTATTTATCTATTTGTTCATAATCACCAGTCATAATCTGTTGGTGACATTATTACTGTTTCTGTGGAAACAACATTCAGTGCCTCAAAAAGAAACAAGAGCATTCTAATTTTTAAAGAAATTGAAGTTTGGTGGTGATGGTACGGAGAAGGCATCTGGCCAAGAGAAAACAAGAAGATAATTTAAATCAGGAGTAATGGTTTCACATTTTCTAATTTGAATAAAAGCCTTACTTTAAGTGCTGTTATAAAAAATTCTAACTGATGCTAGTTATCTTTTCACTTCTAAATATCTATAATTGTATCTTTTATCTTTTTACTATTTTACTTCAGTGAAATCTCCCCCTTACCCCATCAAATCTTTTTTAAAAATATGGTTCTGAGGGTGTTTCTTACATTACTTTTAGGTTATACTGATTTGATTCTGTTTTACAGTTCATATATTCAGGGGAAGAAGGCTTCACTAAAGAAAAAAAGGAACTTTAGATCACTCTTAAAATGAGAGTACAGCGTCTCCATTTCTCTTATTCCCTCACTTCCTCAGTGAGTGTATAACTTCCATTGAGAGTCCTCAAAATATACCAGTGACTGTAGACTTAATGGAGATATCAAATTCTAATCATTTAAAAATACCACATACATTTCAACTTATTTTAATTCTCTCCCCATTAACCAGTTAAATTCATGTTCATAAATAAGTACGTATTAAGTATTTTAGGTTTTTGATTAAGCAGTGTCCATTTACTCTCTATGTTCAGTGTGTTGAGAACTTATAAAATATAATGAGGGTTGGGGAAAGAGGAATGTGTTCTTGCCCATGAATTATAGATGAAGGGGTTTCTAGATTTGAAGGAAGTTGACTAAGGAAGAGTTTTTAGAGAGGCATAAAAATATGCTACCAATGAAAGATGATAGAAACTGGAATATACAATATAAAATTTCCCCAAATGATTTTCAATTGTAGCATTTATAGACATTTCAAATGTTGTCGTGTTATTTCTATTGATTATCTTAGAATAATTTTTTGTCCTTTTTCTGCTAAGTATTGGTCTTTTCCATTATATATATTTTTTGGCTTATAGGATAGTCAGTATGTGCATACATTCTTAGTTTGTGTGTATATAATATTTATTATTATCCTTCAAGTAATTCACAAATACCTTTTGGGCCTCTTATTATTGCTAAGACATTTGTCCTTTGTCAGTCCTATTTAAATAGTATGTTTTGATTTTAAAAATATCTTTAAAAAATAGACAATTGTTTAGAATAATTCCAGGTTTATAGTAAAATTGAGCAGAAAGTACAGAAAGTTCCCAGATACCCTCTGTCCCTGCACACACAGTTTCCTCTACCATCAACATCCTGCACCAGACTGGTACATTTATTAAAACTGATGAACCTACATTAACAAATTACTGTAACCCAAACCATATTTTATATTAGGGTTAGCCCTTTGGGTTGTACATTTTGAGTTTTGACAAATGTATGATACGCATCCATCATTATTGTATCATACAGAATAGTTTTACTTCCCTAAAAATCCGTGCTCCACCTATTCATCCCTCTGTCCTAACCCCTGACAACCATTGATCCTTTTGTTGTCTTCATAGTTTTACCTTTTCCCGAATGTCATATATTTGGAATTACACAGTATATAGCCCCTCAGATTGGCTTCTTTCACTTAGTAATATGCTTTTAATGTTCCTCTGTGTCTTTTCATGGCTTGATGAGTTCATTTCTTTTTAGTGCTGGATAATATTTTATTGTTTGGATGCTATTTGTTAATTCACCTATTGAAGAACATCTGGGTTGCCTCCAAGTTTGGACAGTTATGAATAAAAGTGCTATAAACATCCATGTGCAGGTTTTTACATGGACATAAGTTTTCAACTTATTTGGAGTGCAATTGCCGGATCATACGGTGAGAGTTGTTTAGCTTTGTAAGTAATCGCCAAACTGTCTTTCAAAGTGGGTATCCCATTCTGCATTCCCACCAGCAATGAATGGGAGTTCCTGTTGCTCCACATCCTTACCAGCTTTTGCTGTTGTCAGGGTTTTGCCTTTTCACCCTTCTAATAGGTGTGTAGTGGTGTCTCCTTTTAACTTGCAATTCTCTAATGATATATGGTGATGAATGTTTTTTCATATATTTATTTGCCATCTATGTAACTTCTTTGTCATATATATGACTGCCAACTACGTAATTCTGAGGTGTCTGTTCAGATCTTTTGCCCATCTTTTTAATTGGTTGTTTTCTTGTTGTTGAGTTGCCCCAATTTATATATTGTGAAATGAATACTAAAAATATAGAAAACTTGATTAAAGAAGATACTTGAATGACAAATAAGTACATGATGCTTAACATCATTACCCACAGGGAAATGCAAATTTGAGATCACAATGAGATACTACCACACATCCACTAGAATAGTTCAAGTAAAAAAGACTGACAATACCAGTCATTGGCAAGATTTGGAGAAATTGGGACATTTTCTAGTGGGGATATAAAATGGTACAGCCATCAGGGAGAGGAGTTAGGCAGTTTCTTTAAAACTTAAGCATACAGTTTCCATACAACCTAGCAACTTGGCTTCTAGTATCTACTCCTAAGAAATGAAAAACATTCAAACAAACACTGGTGCATGAGTTCATATAGCAACGTTATTCATAATTATCAAAAACTGGAAACAATGCAAATGTCCGTCAACTAGCAAATGGATAAACAAAATATATTATGCCTCACAATGATTACTACTTACAATGAAAAGAAACAAACTACTGATAAATGCAGCTACATGATGAACCTCAGAAACTTAATGCTAAATTAAAAGGACACATTTTATGATTCCACCTATCTGAAATACGAGAAAAGGCAAATTATAAACATGGAAAGCAGATCAGTGGCTGCTTGCAACAAACTGGGGAAGCAGAGATTGACTGTGGGTGATCACAACAGAAACTTTTGGTGTGATATAAGTGTTCTAATACTGGATTGTGGTGGTAGTTACACAACTGTATAAATTTGCTAAAACTCCTTGTTTGAACTGTACACTTAAAATGTGTGAATTGTATGTTATGTAAAGGTACCTCGACAGCTATTATAAACAAAAAATGTGTAATAGTATGTTTTGTTCTCTGCATGCCTAGGTAATTATCTGCAAGAAACTTTCTGAAAAGCTGATGGAATTTCCACTGCTGGCTGCTTGGTACCAGAGGATTCAGGAAGTGCCAAGAGTAAAAACAGCAGCTTCTCAGTGTGGGATCCAGTTTCTCCATTTACCAGAGTTGCTGACCACCTCAAATGAACAAGATTCAAACTTAAGTGAGGTTCCAGGTGTAGAGGAGCAAAATGATGCTTCATTTATAGGAGGACCAAGACCCACTATGACCAAGTTAATGGTACTTAAAATGTTTTTCTTAAAATTTTCTTTGAAAAATTCCATGTGATAATGTTGCTGAGCATTCTACCCCAACTTGCAATCATTTATTCACATTACTTTTGTTTTAAATTTTATTTGTAACTATTTTATATCATCCTTACCCAGTTAATATTTCTATGTCTTTTGCATATAAATGAGATATAGTAAATTGAAGATTTTTATTGGTATGTGTCTTTGGAGCCAAGTAAGTCAGAATATATATTTTTTAAAAGTATTTTTCTCAAAACTTTTTTTTTTTAATATTCAAGACATTGGCCAAGGTCATATCACATCTGGTCAAATGTATTGTTTTAACCTGACATTTTTCTGTTGCAAGGTTTTGCTCTCAGTTTTTAAATTTTGAGATGATTTGAAGTTAAAGAATATGAAAATGAATATCTCAATTTACTTTCCAAGGTTTTGTCTAAATTTAAGATGTTTTAGTTCTTTGAATTTTGTTTTTACTTTTTCATTTTAATGCCTTTTTATAAAACAGATATGATTTCTTCTTTTCTCTTTGCAGCAACATTTGTTTCTAATAGTACTTATTGTCGAAATTTTCCCAATAGGCTTTATTTTCTCTATCATTCTAAACAATTTACAAAAATGTTTTGCTTTTAACTTCAACTATTTGAAGATTTATTTGAATAGAGGAAAAATCAGGAAGTAATTTGAGCTATTCATCTGAGTCGTACTGGAAAGATATTCATTATATTTCCCCACTTGGGTTAGGAAGCATTTGAGTTTTTTAGTTAACAGAAAGTTTGCTGAATTAGAAAAGCACAAGATTTTAGTAGTGACATCAGCCCCTTATCTCATCAGTTAGGCATTGTTAACCTAGTGATGAAACAATGAAATAGGATTTTATAGTTGATTTTAGAAGAAGGTATCAAGGCATGTCCAAAGTTTGATGTGTCTTGATCAGATGACTATACTCTGCAAGGATCTCAGTTTTACCTCTTGAGTTTTTTAAAATAAATAATCATCAATAATTTGCTTTGCATTAAAATACTAATTTTCAAAATTTCAACAAACCAAAAATCTGCTTTTAATTCATACTTACACAGTTTTAAAGAAAATTGGTAATTCAGATTTTTCTACCTATGTTTTTCTAGCAATAAAATGACATTAGGAAAAACATTTGTATGTTTTCCTATTCTGTATTTCCTATTCCTGTATTCTGTATTTTATGCATATTAAAAATATCTATAAACAATGAAAAATAAATAACAAATTTAAATTCAGGAAAAGTTAAACAATTGTAAAAATAAGCTGTCTTATAATAACATAAAAAAGAAAAAGAAAAAAAATAAAAAGGAATCCTGAATTTTTAATTTACAGGGGGTGTGTTAGTTCAGGTCCCCCAAGCAGACCAAGAAGGGGTTAGATGTGCAAGAGTTCTACTGAGGGAAATCTGTGACGTAAAGTGGGGAGGGAGACAGAGGAGGCTGGGAGAGCCTTCAGTCTATGATGCAGGTTTGACCCTTGTGCATGAGACAGGGAAGGAAGGACAATTGGGTTAGAAAAGCTTTAGACTTCACTGCAGGTCTAAGAAAGTTTTGGCAAGCCATTGGGGAATCCTTGAACCCAAATCATCTGTCAGAGAGTTCCATGTTTCTCAGGAATAGGCCTGCCCTGTTATCTCAGCCACTCTCAGGCATTGGCTTGGGAGCAGCCCCATGGTAAGACTAGTAGGGACCAGATGACTTGGATTCTAGTCCCAGAGTTGAGGCTAAGCTAACATTGTGACCTTTAGTATGTTGTTTAACCAAAGGATCTTAACTTCTCCGTTTATAAATTAGGAGAGTATAGTAGATATTCTGTAGGATTCTTTTCTGATTTCAAATCTTATGGTTATATAAAAAATGACTGGGACATTACATCGACAATTAAAAAAAAAAGAAGGCTCAAATCTGAAAATAAGTTAAAATTTCTATTTCATTTAATTCTAACTTGAAAGTATATATTAGATACAATAAATATTCCTTTTTAGCAGGACATTGTTTTTGCTACTTACTAGTGAATTATTGACATATGTTTTGAAAATTAGTAAATATTATATCAAAATAATAAATTATGTGAATGTATGACAGTAACTATTAATTTTTGTGTAGTCACAGTATTTTGTGCCAATTAGATAAGGACAAATGAAATTGGTGCCAAGTGGAAGTATAAGATAGTAAAGTATTTCTTAGGAACACTCACATCTCACTTTTTTTTCCCCTTTTGTTTTCTTTGGCATATTCTTGCCTCCAAAATTTCCCTTATTCTCCAAAGGTTTTAAATTTATTTATTCATCAGTTAGTCCAAAAAATGTATATGTTTAGTCATTGTTTTGAATGTGGGATATATGAAGAACAAATTGGGCTGCCTTCATGAGCCTTATATTCTGGTGGGGGAGGTAAATAAAAAACACAAATGTGTTAACACAGTAGGTAATGATAAGTGCCACAAAAAGTAATGTGGGATAAGGGGGTGGAGGTTATGTGAGTTGGAATCCTTTTTAGATAGAGCGGTCAGGGAGGCTTATCTGACCAGGTGAAGACATTGAGCAAATGACCTGAATGAACTGAAGATTTGGAGGAAGTGTTCTAGGCAGAGGGTCCAGCGAGTGAATAGACCCTGAGCAAGTCTATAGGGGCAGAAGGTAGATTAGTAGTTACCTAGGGCAAGGAGCTGAGGGAGGGAAATAGAGAGTATCTACTAATGGATATGGGACTTCTTTTTGAGATGATGAAAATATTCTCAAATTAGCATTGATTATGGCGCAACTGTGAATATTATAAAAAACATTGAATTGTATGCTTTAAACATAATGGTGTGTGAGTGACATCTCATATAGTATTTTTGAAGAGACCCTAAGGTAGGATTAAATTTGGTGAAATGAGGGAGAGCAAGTTTAGTATGGCTAGTCTAGAATAAGGGGGAAGATGTTTATTTTTCTGGAAGTGCTGGAAGTTTCTGGAAGTAAGTGCTCTAGACCTCTAGACATAAAGATGTCTCTACCTCAACAAAGAATCTTCATACTATTTCCTTTGGAACCAGAATTCAGCTAGTTTTCATAATTTAAAGCTAGTTTTCATAATTTCATAATTCATAAAACTAGCTGAACCAGAATTCAGCTAGTATTCATAATTTCATAATTTCATGAACTAATTGATTCAAATTAGTGATAGATTCTCAGAGATTTTTCTTTTGAATATGATATTTCTAAAGATAAAACCCTGGACCCTGGATATCTATCCTGTGGACTATGTACTCAGAAAGTGATTGCAAGGGGTCTGAAAATCCATATTTATGCCACACAACTGTCTGCAGATCAAATAAATAAATGCGTAACTTTTGACATGGGGAAGGAGCCTGAGAATTTTTTTATATATTGAAAAGTGGTCCTCAGTTTTGAAAATGTTGGGAACCATTTGGTTACAACAGAGGAATCCTTTTTTAGAGGCATTACAAGCCTTTGTGGTATGGATGATGTTTTGGGGGTGTTATGTTGAAGTGGGGCTTTTTGTCCTGTAAATATAACTTGTAGGCTGTGTAGCTATTTTCATATATGTAAAGACAGATTTTGATGGATATGCAGCATCAGTTTTTCTTTTTTTATCCCTGTGTGGAATGTTTTTGATAAAATTTTTATCTTCAAGTGACTTTTCTTTTTGACATCCAATTGATTTCTAAGTATAAGAATATTTATTTCTTTGTAGTTTTAGGCAATAATTTAAAAATAGCATTTTTTGTTATCTCTGTATAAAAAAAGGAAAGTAACTGTTCTATCAAAAAACACATTGTATTTCTTATGTAACTAAATATTTTGAGGAACATCTAATGATCGTTACTAGTTATGCTCCTTCTTGACACTATAGAAGAGAAAATTTGCCGTATAGTGCCTAGATATCTTTTTTTTGTTGTTTGATTTTTTTCCCTGAAGGGAGCACTCTTTCAAATACATCAACTACATGACTAGCCCAAGGCCACATAGCAAGTTGGTCTCTGGGGACAATCTTCTCATCTGTGGAAGGGAACTTCTGTGAGACAAATTCACTGACTCCAAAACCTATATGAGTTTATGACTGAAAATGGATTCCTCAAATCGAAGACTGTGTGGTCCCATCCAAACACTTACTTCATTCTGTTTTACTGGTTGTGAGTGATTTCAACTTTTAAACAATTACCTAACAATTCTCCTAATGAGAATAAATTTGCATTTGTACCCCCCAAAAAAAAGAAAACAAAAGAGAAATTTGGCCTTCTAAACCATAACAGGATTTTATTAATTCATTAATTTGGAAAGAGTCTATTTCCTATTTCCTATTTCTAGGAAAAAGGCATTGAAGTGATGTTTTCTCCCCACCCTTGCCCTACTTGGACTCTTGATTGGAATAGTCTTCCTGCAGCAGTGAGCCCAAAGGAAGGTGAGTTTTTTTTTTTTCCTTTTTTTTCTCCTTTAAGTTTTAATCATAATCTAGATACCCTCTTCAGATCCATCTTTCAATTCTCTAATTCTCTCTTTGGCTTTATCTAATATTCTGATTGTACTATCCATTGAGTTTTCTTTCCCCTCCCCAATTATTTCTTTTTTTAAAAGTTTTTATTTTAATTCCAGCTGGTTATACAGTGTTATATTACAATATAGTAATTCAACACTTCCATTCATCACCCTGTGCTCATCACTACAAGTGTAGTCCTTAATCCCCATCACCTATTTAACACATCACCCAACCCACCTCCCCTCTGGTAACCAACAGTTCTCTATAATTAAGAATCTATTTCTTGATTTGTCTCTCTCTTTCTCTCATTTTTTCCCTTTTGCATGTTTGTTTTGTTTCTTAAATTTCCCATATGAGTGAAGTTTTCCTTTTATTTTTATTATAAAAATTTCACATATACACATATACACATTGCTCAGATTCAACATTTCTTACATTTTCCTAGATTTGTTTATTCCTTTTTCTTTCTTTTGAAGTATTTTGAAGGAAATTTCAGATAACATGCCATACTATAGTACATACATCTAAGAAATACAGCCATTCTAAATAATTGCCATGTCATTAGCACACCTAATAAAAATTAACAAAAATTCTTTGATCCTATAATAACCAGTACATAATCGTTTTCCCCTAATTGTTTAAAGTATTGTTTGAAAAAAATATTTTTATAGTTAGGTTTTTAGTTATATAATTATATCTTTCATTGCTAGAAATTATATTTGGGTTGTTTGTTTTTATAATGACCTTTTCCTTGCTCGTGTTTCAATTTCTTCTTTTCATAATTTTTTTAAGTATAGTTATTTTATATTCTGTGTCTGTTATATGATAGTTGATGTCCACAGAGATCTAATTTTGGTGTTTGTTTTTTTTTTCCTGTTGACTTCATTCTTGCTGTCTTTTTTCCCTATTAGTTTTGTAATTATATATTTTGAATTCATTTAGGGGCTACTTAAATCTGTGGGAATCTTGTGGGGCCTGGGTTAGAAGCAAATTTCAATAGAAAGGATTTATATTTGCTTATGCCAGGCATCTTGAAGTACTAGATCTTAAGATCAGTTAACATTATGTTTTCAGCTTGAGATTCCTTTAACCTTTTCATTTGGAGCTGAGGTTTAAACAGAGAAGTTACCTTTTATCATCTCCTTTGCTATTGAGTAGGACTTTTTTTTATTGTAATGCATCTTTTCATGGGGGAATATAGCTTTTCAAGGTTTCTACTTTCATGTAGTGATAATAGTTCCAGGTTTCCACAATGCTAGGGATCCAGGACTAGCCTCTCTTCTTTGTCTTTCTATTAAAGCTCAGATCCCTATTAGCAAATAATCTCCTGGCAGCTGGTGTCAGTTCAAGATTATTACACTACTTTTTAGTTCCTTTCCCCTTTGTTAAGGCCCTATGGAGTTCCCTTACTCTCAGAAATCCATTGAGACAGGCAAAGGATGATTGTTGAGTTTTATATAGCATTTTAGGTGTTTTTAGGTGGAGAACATTTTCGTTACTCAATGTTCCACTTCTTTAATTGTTCACTTATTCTTTAGTTTTATACCAAGCCAAATATATCTTTTGGTTTCCAAATGCTCTTTGAAATTGTTTGCCTGCCTTTTTCATGTTCTTCTCCTCTGTGATGCTTCCTAAGTATTGTCTATATCTCACTAATCAATTCTAGTCTGTCAATCAAGGAAATAATTTAGGATTTTTCCAGAATGGAATAAGATTTTCATTGGGCAATTAAGAACTGTGCCTCACAGATGTTTTATAAAAATTAAATTCATTTTTTGGTCTTTGGTAAATATATGAAACATAGTCACTAATGAATTTGTTAATGTTTAATTTTAAATATTTTCTGATATTTTGAAAATTTTAAGTGTTTGTTTTTATTGTCCTTGCAATTGGATTGTTTTGTGTACTCTGGTTATGGTACATTTTGGACAGGTTAAAACTATAGTAAATGAAAATCAGATTTTCATTAATATTTATATTTACAAGAAATTAGTACAAAGATTTGTTAAGTGCCACATGTTTTGCTTTACTCATAATTAATTTACCATGAAGCCAAAATAATATTTTCATTTATTAATTGAGCAATCAATTACATCTGCTTCCAACTCAGAGATCTGACATTAAGCATTCATGTCTGGTTGTTTTACTGGCTAGAACTGCATATCTAACAGAGTTCATGGAATATATTCCTCATTATATCTCTTTAATTGGATCACCTAGTTTTCATAAATATTATGACAAACAAGGAGCTATAACAGCAGAGCTACATGATTTATTTACATTTCATTCTCTGTTCTTAAAAGGTTTATATAGTCTGTGTTAAACTAAGGCAGAATTGTTGCATTTTAGATGTTCTGTTTTCAGTGCTGGCAATTTCAATATTGCACAGTAATAGGATCACTGTGAAATAAAATTATTATACATATGGGTGTGGAGGTCACTGTGAAAGTGTTCTCATGATTTGTGTTCTGGTATTTTTAGAAGAGATTGAATTGTAATAAGATTTTATTGGTACTAGGTTCATTTGGATGTCACAAAGGCTGACTCCTTATGTGGAAGCCATTGAGTTACATCAAGATTATGGCCCATATAATAAGAATCATTTTCTTTACTAACAAAGGCTATATTGATCCTCACAATGGAGGCTTATTTCTTAAGCTTGTCTAATCTCCCAACCTCTGTTATTACCCATTTCTCTCCCCACATCCTATATTCTATTCCCTGAACTTTTCAGATTCCCTCATATGATCTATAACTATTATTTCCATGCCTTCACTTTTATTTTGCCTCCAGCCTTAAATATTCTTCTTTCCACTTCCCATCCTATTGAAATTATACCCATCTTTTAAAGATCAGCTCAAATGCTGCTTCTTCATTAAGCCTTCTGCATGTGCTATGGAGTCAGGCTGCCTGAGTTTCATACCTGGACTACTATACTAACTGCTAGAAAATCTATGGCCAGATTCTCAATTTCTCTGTGCCTCAATTGCCTCATCTGTAAAATGGGGATAAAATAGTATACACCTTAATGAGGTTGTTGGTACATTCAATGAATTAATATATAAAGTACTTAGTACAATAGACAGAATTAGTCACTCGCTCTCAGCATTCCTTAGTACTTTCTTATACTTCATTTTTGGTACTTACGGTATGCTTCTCTTCCACTGTAATTATTTATATGCATGTTTTTCTTCTCTAGTGGACTGTGAGCTCTTTGAGTATAGAATAGGTACGCAATAATTTTTTTATTAAATTCATTTGAATTGAGACTATAGATCCTTTTAGTTAAATTTCCAAATTTCTGCTTAAACCAGGAACTTTGAATTCTTTTGTCTCATTTAGATTTAATTTACATCATCATTATTACTATTATTACTACTACTACTACTATTCTATTCTATTCTATTTTATGGACTGTTTGGGAATAAGTTGCAAACATTGTGCTACTTCACCTCCAAGAACTAAACTGTCCGCTTTATGAACAAAGGCACTTCCTTAGTTCTTTTCTCTTAGCCATTGTACAGTTATCAAAACAGGCTCTGTGATTCACTATGAACTATTATCTAATCTGCAGTCCAGTTGATTGTAGTACATGTAATTGTCATGTCACTTTAGTCTCCTTTCATGTGAAATAGTTTCTTAGCCTTTCTTTATCTTTCAACATGGACTGTTTTGAAGAATTCAGGCCAGTTTTTTGTCAAACGTTTCTCAATTTCAATTTGTCTCGTTTCCTCATGCTTCAATTCAAATTATGCATTTTGGCAGGAATACCACCTAAATGAAGCTGTGGCCTTCTCAGTGTATTATTGCAGAAGGCACATTACATCAGTTTGGGCCCAGTGATGTTAACTTTAATCATTTGGTTAAGGTGGTATCTACCAGGTATCTCTACTGTAATGTTACTGTTTTGCTCTGTTGAATTAATAAGTATTTTGTGGGGAGATATTTGAGACTACATAATGTCTTGTTTTCAAAATTTCACTCACTAGTTTACGTTCATTTGATGCTTCTTGCCTGTGATAGTTACAGAATGGTGACTTTTCAGCTCCATCAGTCTTCTATATGTATTAGTTGCCATGCTAATGTAAGAACGTTTTTCCCATCTATCATCTATGTATCTTCTCAGTATTGACTCAGGAATTATTTTATTAAATAAGTTATAATCCATCACTGTTGTTATTTATTTCAGTACTCAAGTTGTCCCAGGTTGTGAGTCTCTTCAAGCTGGCTCCTGATCCTTTGGAAATGGCCTTATCATTCTATGACCACTTCCTTAAATTCTAGAGAAAAAAAACTATTACAGGCTCATTTTGTCATTTCCCTGCCTCAGTTCTAGAGTCAGCTGTTTCTCCAAGGAGCTCTGGTTCCCTTTAGTAGAGATTAGCATTTAGAAACTAAAATTTGGGCACGAGGTGTGCTTATTGCTAATGGAGTGTTATTGCTTTTAGCTCCTCTCAGCAGAGAGCTGTGCATATAGATAGATCTATGAGAAATAGATGTATGTACACACACACGTATATAATCACATCACTGTCTACTGCTCTATTTGTATATCTCTGTTATATGTCTGTATTAAAAAATGGTGAGATGGGCGCCTGGGTGGCTCAGTCAGTTAAGCGTCTGCCTTCAGCTCAGGTCATGATCCCAGGATCCTGGGATTGAGCTCTGCATTGGGCTCCCTGCTCAGCAGGGGTCTGCTTCGCGCTCTTCCTCTGTGCTCTCTCTCTCAAGTAAATAAATCTTAAAAAAAATAAAAACCAATGTTTTTTTAAAAAATGTTGAGATTATACTGATATCTCTAATTCCAATCCTAATCCGCAAAATTCTTCCTAGTTTTTCCGAATTCAATGTCTATACCTATATCAACCTTTCTCAACAGTAAAAATGATAGCTCACAATATCATCTATTTATTTGCTCATTTGGT